ACATCCTAGTATTAAGGGAAAAACTCCTTGATTCCTTTGTGGCCTAAGGTACTATCTGCTTTGGTGGATATATTTACTATCTGACCATTCATAAAATGAAAGAGGCTATTTAAAGAACTCCATGTAGCAAAGGGATGTTCGGGCTCTCATTTCTTTGGGACTTAATAGGACATGAATCTATTCTGAGAATAAAAAAAATAAATCATCACTTTCTGAAATTTTCAAAATCAATTAATGCTATGTAGTTTCTTTTTGGTTTGCTAAATTTTACACTTGCCTACTCATTCACGGGATGTTATCATACTTTCATGTTTTATACTAATGTAATCATAACATATGTACATACATTCCCTATGTAGAATATATTTGCATACACACATATTCATTACTTTATACACACACATATGCATACATTTTAGACTCTTTGAATTCTTGGCTTGTGTGCTTACATTCCCAATGCAAACTAATTTTTAAAAGTATTTTTATTATTTTTTAATTTGTGTGTGTGTGTGTGTGTGTGTGTGTGTGTGTCGATGTGTGGGTGGTTATTTGCATGTGAGTGGCATGTCTGTGGAGTCCAGAAGAAGGCATCATAGCCTCTGAAGCTGAAGTTGTGAGCCACCCATTGTGACAGCAGGGAATCAAACTTGGGTCCCCAGGTAGAGCAAGCAAGCACTTTTAACCACTGAGCCATCTTTCCAGCCCTTCCACTAGATTTTTTGTTCTTTTGAGTCAGGGTCTCTCACTGAACTAGGAGCTCACTCTTTTGCTTAGACTAGATTGCCAGCATGGCCCAAGGACCCTTCTGACTCCATATACTCCCCATAATGTTTGAATTACTATGTACACTACTAGGCCTGGACTTTTCTATGGGTGATGGACTTAGGATCTCATGTTTTTGAAGCAAGCACTTAGCCAACTGAGCTGTCCTCTCAAACTATAAGTTCGTAGAAATAGTGTTCCTACCTGTTTTGGTCAATCATATTTGAAGGTCCTAGTACAGTACCTAACATATAAGAGGTACTCTTGAATAGTCACAGAAGCATTGGCTATTCATCTATTGCTCCAAAATGATTAGCTTGTAACTCTGGTTGCTTTATAAAACCTCCCCAAAACACTTGTACATTCATTTGATCAATATCCATATAAAATGGCTGGGCTCTGGGTTGGGCAATGTCACTGGCAAAGGTGCCCAAGTGGCTCAGACCAGGGTGCCAATTTCTCTAGTGCCTCAGTTTGCCGATCCCTAAGGGAAGATGAAGCCCTGTGAATGGAGAATCCTGCCAGTACATTGTTCCTCGGGCTAGAAGGGGAATTCTATTCTCTGTATTCCAACTTCGTGACTGCAGCTTCTGCTTAGTCTTCTCAGTTTAGACTCTGTCAAAGAGATGCAAGACCTCAGTCTCCTCTTTCACACACACTGGTCTGAGGTAGAGGTGCCCAGGATCCCCACCAAGATGGAGAAGGACAGGGTATAATTAATCTTCTATCAATGTCTCCCATCAATATCTGTCTCATAGCGAGATAAATGACCTACTGTCAGAGCTGCAACCTTCCCCAGAAGTGGAGAAGGAGTTCACAGACAGTGCTGACCTGTACCACACTATTTGAGTAATGATGAGACTAATTGTCTTGGAAGCACTTCTAGACACTCTTTTTTTTTCAGAGCGGAGGACTGAACCCAGGGCCTTGCACTTGCTAGGCAAGCACTCTATCACTGAGCTAAACCCCCTACTTAGATACTCTTAAAATGTCTTAACCTGTGTTTCTTCTTGAAGTGAAAATGGGGCCTTCTTGTTTGATTTCCAGCTTTCTGTTTCACAGTGGCAAAATTCTTCTCAACATGAGCCTCTAGCCTGGTTCTCCAGGTAACACTGCAAGACAGGTGTCATCCAGAGATGCCAAAGATATAAATGCAAGCTTAGCAAGTGGATTGCTGATGCCCATGAAACACCGCCGAGTCATAGCTGGCACGTAAGCTCTGGCTGGTTAGTTTCCAAGCCATTCTTCCTGACCCAGCCTTCTCCAACCTTTGTTAAAGAATCAAGCTGCTATTGTATGCAGTAGTGAGCATGAATCTTGAACTCAATTGAATTGGGTTTGACATCAAGTGTTTCCCTTTCCCTGCTATGTGATGTTGGACAAACTATGACATTTCCCTGAAGTTCACCAACTCTGTTTGGTGGGAAAAGGTTTTAATTAACACCACACAGTAGTTTTGCTATGGGCTAATATGATAATATACATACAACAATGAATAAAATTTGCTACTTATAAGATTAGTCAAAGGCCAGTATTAGAACAATGAATAGTCTCCCCAATGTGCTGTGATGGAATGGTTTGTTTTCCGCTGAGAACAGTACAGCCATTTGGCATCCACAAATGCTCAGTTCCAGAACCTTCTGCATACCATCCACAGATGTTCAAGTCTTTGGTATAAAATGACAGAACAGTGATTCTCTGCAACCTCTAAAATGTTATAAATGCTAAATAAATAACTGCTGTATAGTATTGTTTAGGGAACAATGACAAGGAAAACATTCATGTTCAGTACATAAGGCAAGGTTTCTATTGTTTCCACCGAAAGAATAGGGAGAGACATCTGTATTCTTCAATGGCTTTCTCAAATAAATTATGACTCTGACTTTTTGGTTACTGATAACCATCATAATTCTGAGCTTGTAACACATAGCATGAAATAAACTAAAAGGGTATAAACAGAGCTATAAATCAGCATTGGTGGAGATTCAAAATCATAAAGTGTTAACAAATTAAATCCATTGAGAGCTAAAATATCAATAATTCAATTACCAACAAAAATGTATTTCAGAATGAAAAGGTAAATCAAAATAGAAAAATACAAGATAGTCAGCCTGATGCACAGTTTAGAGGAGTTGGCATGAATAAGAAAAGGCCAACAGATATGCTACACTTGCACATAGATAATTTGTATATACATCTGTGTGAATGGTGTGTGTGTTTGAATGTACCTGGGTGTACATGCACTTGTTTGTGTGTAACAAGGCCAAAGGTTGACATCAGTGTTTCTTTAGCCATCAACTTGCCATAGCCTAGAGTCACCTAAGAAAGAATTCTTGAGTGATGGACAGATTATGCCCGAGAATATAAGGGAGCCAAGGACTAGCACAGGGGTGGTGGTGGTCACAGTGGCCCTGGAACCCAGTTCTCTCTCTCTCTCTCTCTCTCTCTCTCTCTCTCTCTCTCTCTCTCTCTCTCTCTCTGGCATGTCTACGGGGTCTATCTTGATTGTTAGATGCTCACTGTAGACTGCATCATCTCCTGGACCAGTGGATACAAACTGTATTATGAAACTTTCTAGGCATGCCCTGCAAGTGAATCATCAAGCAATGCTCTGTTCCTCCATGGTTTCCACTGCACTTCATTGGTGATGAGGGAGATCTTTGGTCAGAGGAAATGCAACAGCAAGCAGGTCTACCTTCAGATTCCAGTTTCAATTTCTGCCCAGGCTTCCTTCAGTGACAAACTGTAACTTGGAAGCTTGAATAAGCTCTTCTTCTCTAAACTGCTTTTGGTCTGAGTGTTTTATCACAGGACCATAGAAAGGAAACTCTAGCAGGCCTTCCTCAGTTTCTCTCTACCTTACATGTTGGAGCAAGCTCTCTTGTCAACCAGGAACTCACTATTTAACTAGTCTTGCTAGCCAGCTTTGCTCTAGGCCTGGCTTGTCTCTGCCTTCTGAATGCTAGGACTGCAGGCAGCTTCTGCACCGTGCTGGCATTCATATGGCTTCTGGGGATCTGAACTCCTGCCCTTATGCTTGTGAGGCAAGCAGTTTACCCACTGAGCCATCTTACATCACCCATCAGCCCTGGCACTCAACTATTTTTAAACCAAGAACAAGTTTATAATACTAAACAAATTTTAGAATTTTATCAGCTAAGGTCTTTAAAAAGAGAAATCATTTAGTTCTCTGTATCTATCTCTATATATAACAAAATCAATATCAAAATATGATTAAAATACAGCTCAATATCCAACATCCTGTTGGATAAGTTCACTTTGCATTAGAGATTAGTTAAGTGTAATTACTCTAGTTTTTATCAGACCAAGTAATAACACATAGTACCCACTATCTGGTAGGGTTACAGATTATTAGTGTTCCTACCTTTAATTAAGTACATTTACTATGTACTTTAAAATAGTAACATTAATCTCACAATAGAACTAAATGTATTGAAATATTTTAATAAGCATTCCACTAAAGTAATGAAGCATGTTTGGTGACGATTTATGCTGACATATGAAATGTACATAATAAAGCAAATATTTTTTTAAAAAATAATCTTCTATAATATTTTTTTATGATGACCAAAAAAAAGAATTCATAGCATAGGGTTAGCGATGGCTGAGTGGATAAATTGTGTATCTGAGTTCGATCCCACAGGATCCCTCTTGAAAAAAAATAAGCATGGTGGTACATGCTTGCAATCAGTCAGACACAGAGAGCCAGGCAGCTTCAAGCTTCAGGCCAGTGAGACACTCTTCCTCATGATAGAGTAGATGGCCCATAAGAACATCACTCAAGGTTCTCCTCTGTCCCTCCCCCAGCACACAGTGCATACATGTGTACCTGCATATATACTCATATGTTATCTGTACACAAACAAGTACATGCACACATACACAAAGAATTTCACAGGATGGTTATGGTGCTTCCATGAGAGAGCACTTTCCTAACATACCTGAAGCCATGGTTTCCAGGGCTAGCACCTCAAGAAAAAATACAAACCCCAAAGAATTGCTTGGTGGATCTTTGGGTTGGAAGAATGTGGTTCAGCATGTGTTGACTATATATTACATGATGGGAAGTATTTTTGTGAGAGACTTAACCTTCCAGATTTCCTTCTGGACTGTGACTTTGGATGTGACTCCTGAATAGACACAGTACTTCCTCATTCCTAAGCCTTCACTGTGTCTTCATCTAACACATGGATTCAAGGCTTAGTCATAATACTTACCCATTCTCCAGTTCAATTGAGCCTGGCTGGAACTTCTAGTGAGATCTGAGGAGCTGGAGAAAGCCATTGGTGAGAGGAAGGAGGCCAATGGGTCATCACAGTTGTCTGAAAAGATAGGGAGAGCAGGAGAGGTTATATTCTATTGACAAGACAAATACACCCTCTCATTTATTAGCCATTTTCTCTGGAAAAGGTTGGGGACTATTTTTCAGTGCATGTTATTGCAATTACTTCTCATAGCCCTCAAACATGGTATGACTTCCTTTCATAGATGGAGAAAATGAAGGCTGGAAAGGTTAAAGTTGACAACACTAGTGAGTAGCATAACCAGCCAAAACTCTCAGAAAGATTTGTTTGAGTCAAAAGCACAGCTCCCAATCCATCTCTGTAGTTGAGCATTTGAGCAAAGCCTAACAACATGTTTGTGTTGAGTCTGTAAGTAGGGAAACTCTTACAGGAGGATATTGTTTCTCTCCCATCTTCAGCATCCAAGGACCCTTGCAATAAATGCAAAAAATCCCAATAGGAATATTTCGAATTTCACACTAAAACTTGTAGGTAAGCCAGTGAGAAATGTGCTCCTTACCTAATAGCTCGCTTATGCTACAAGAAGTAAAAGAGAGTAGTCCCAGATGTTGTACAATCTTGAGCTGAATGGTAACTTCAATAGCTAACTTTCTAGCCTTCCCTGGTGAGGTACTTTCTAAGGCTGCATTGGTAACACTAAACAAATATGGGACATTGGTCAATGGAGCCATTGACAGAGACATGTCTTGGCAACATGGTTACGTCCCTTCCAGTTCACACTAATCCACTGTCACTGGATTTCAAATGGAGGGATTTGATCTTCACACTTAGCAGATGCCACATACATAACTGTTTGAACATTTGTGCTCACAGAAGGTAGCACTGAGATTTAACTACCATGAAAACAAACTAAGAAGCAGGATCTTTAAGAGGTGATTAAGCCATGAGAGCCCCACTGTCCTTGTGAG